TCCATTTCTGAATTGTTTTTATAAAGCTTGTGTATGTGCATTATGCATAGGATGGGTACATTTTTTATATACTGAAATAAATACATAATAAATTAAAATGGAGGGATACCATCTATCCCTGGTTTACATTACACTTTGTGTAGTGCAAAACCTAATCAGGGCAATTCCATAAAAAAATTCAGCTGTGCAGATGTTTTTTTCACTTCAAAGCTTTACATATATTGGAATCTAAGCCCTTGTGATATACATGAGTGGATGCACATTGGTGTCCCTTGGCTAATCAAATGTGTTACCTCTTGGCATGCTTAGGGTAAGAAAAATCACAAAGTAAAGCTGAGCCAACAGAGTAGCTGAGACGCCAACACGCCTTTGATATTTTAGAATTCAGTTTGAATCATTAACTTAATATTTTTAAATACCTGCAAAATCTCCAAAAAGAACATTTAATTTTTAGAACTATGTGTGAGATAAACATTAGGCCAAAAAAAACCTCTATGAATGATATTGAAGAACACTGATAGTTGTGTCCTGTTAGAACAATTTATAAAGCATTTGGAAGAGTAGCCTTTATTGAACAGCAGTAGATTGCTTTTTGTAAGCAAAACCAAGGGTTACACTTGGGTCTAGATTGTATTCACTGGTGGGGAGAAGATTGCAGATGGAACTTCTACAACAGCTCATGCAGAAGTGTTTGATACCAAAGCACTCAAGAGTGCTAGGAAGAGGGCTGACTAACATACTCTCTTGCTGACAGGGGATATGCTCTGCCTTTTAGACAGCATGTCCAACTCCCAAGTATACATTCTGCAATCAGCCATAATCACTAATCAAAGGTGAAGTCTGTTCCCGATTGTAAAAGAAGTAAAGTTCACCCAGAACTGTTTTGCACCAGCCTACGTTTAGCTATCTTCCCCTGTAATTGCAGCTAACACCACTTTGTTTCTTTCCCTTTCTGTTCAACTCTCTAGGTCTAGGCTATGCCTACACTACACACCACTGGGTGGCAGCATGTAGGGAGTGTATAGCTACACACACAGTGAAAAGCCTGTGGTGTGTAGCTAAACTTGTGAGTGAAGGGCTCTGGCAGGGGGATACAGCAAGGAAAAACGTCAGAAGCTCCCCACTGTAGGAGCTTTTGACTGCGGCAAGGAAAGACTCTGGCAGGAGGGAGGCAGCAGGGAAGGGCTTTACAACAGGGTGCCTTTCCCTTCAGCATCCCCAGAGTCTTTCCCCTCTTGGGTGTCCTTGTCCTGTGGCTGGGAAAGGCTCCAGGAGTGGGGAGGCAGCAGGACACTATACAGCTAAAAATAGCAGTGTAGATGGGGAGGCAGGGCTTAGGCAAGTAGAGAGCATGATTGAAGGGTATGTACTCCCATACATGCCCACAACCTTCTGTATGTGTTTAATGTACTCACCTAAGCCATGCCTCACCGGCTATGCCCATGCTGGGGGGGAAGGGAGGGGACGTATGTACTCTACACTCAGCCGAAAGAAGCATGCGGTGTAGATGTACTCTCAGGTCATGGCAGGATTTTCTTATTCACTGTTTGAAAAATGCACACTGAAAACCTATGTACTGGTACCTACATAATTAAATATATATTTTTTTAATCTTAAAAAAATCCCAACACCTTTGCTTTGATTTGTTTGCATATCTTGCAGAGTGTTTACTAGAGCTAAACATAATACTGGCAGGCAATAGTCAAGCTTCCCCAGCTCTTCCAGAGTCCTTCAGTGCTAACTTGAAGTGCAGCTGGCATTGGAGACTCTGGGACCCTTCTTGAACAGAGATGACAAATCCCACTGAATTGTGTGCGCATTTTATTATGTAGATGGATGTGCATAAAACACATGGATATGACCAATAACTTATTTTAACTCGTGATCTGAGCCAGCATTTGAGTCTTGTTATCTACAGATTAAATAAATTGATCTCCCAAAATTACTCCTGTCACTGTAGAAAAAGGGTAGGATCTGATTTCTGGTATTAAATTTAATGTAATAAAGAGTCTATATTTATCATTTCATTGTTAATTTTTTCTTGAACATGCTGAATTATTCTCCTTTTTAATGGTGCATGCCTATAATTTAGTTGCAAAATGTAGCTTGCAATTTTTTACCAAGAAAACCCCCTATGTTTTTGTGATTTTTTTAAATGAAAAAACAACATGTAAGCATCACATTTTGTTATTGGAAACTCCACTACAACATTACTGTGTTAGTGAAGGGGAAACTGACCAGCCTAATTTTGTTGTCCAATGATCAAGGAAGTTTAAAAAAAAAAGTAAATGGGATGAAAGGTAAAAAGTAAATTGGGGTTGTTTTTTGGTTGGTTGGTTGTTTTTGTTCTGATAATCTACATTGAGAAGTTTTGTACACCCATCGCTGTAGTGAGTGTCTCCACTCAAAAGTTAGGTCGACCCAGCTATGTCACTCAACAGTATGAAAAATCCACACCCCCGAGTGACATAGTTAAGCCGATCTAACCACTAGTGTAGACAGTAGACACCTACGTACCGCCTCTCAGGGAGGTAGATTGACTGCACCAATGGGAGAACCCCTCCCATTGCTGTGGTGAGAGTCTACACTCAAGTGCTACAGCAAGGTCAAGTGTAGACAATGTGCTAATATGACACAAAGGAAATTTGTTTTTAAATTCAATCTGTGATTTTAGCTTGATTTCCTCCTTTAATAACTGTTGCCGTACTCTGGGTTTTAAAAGCTGTTATGGCATGTTTCTTTTTCCTAGCATGCATGATCTTTGAGGTAAAAAAGTAGTATATCAGCCACTGTCAGTACCTTATCCTTTCTTGATAACAGTACCAACATCTTTCTTGCTTTCTTTCATTACTTTTTACAAGACTTCATATAGGGCCAAATTCTGACAGCCTACCACTTTTCTTCCTAAAGAGATTTACACAAACAAAAGCAGCATTAATTGTGTGCTTATCCTCCAGTTGGTCCTACATGCCTGCATAGATTATTCCTTCCAACAGCAGGGTAAACAGAGTTGGTCAGGAGTGAGTGGAGCACTAACCACATAAGGGCTCCTATGCAGAGATGGTCAGGAAATAATTTTATCCCCAACAAAAAAAATTCAAAAGAGAATGCATTTTTTAATGTTCATCAAAAATGTTTCTTTGAAATTTTATATAATTAAAAAAAAACCAAATAAACTAATTCTCCTAAATTTTTCAGTTTCCAAAAACAATATAAACCAAAAAATTGGTAATTGGATTTTCATTTTTTATTGAAAACCTGAAAACTGTAAACAAAAATAGAAAAATTTCATGCAAATTTTCTTAGAGACAAAAAGCCATTTTCCATCTAACAAACATTTAGATGGAAAATTTTTGACCAACTCTACTCTCATGTTGAAATGTGTTCTATTATGTTGTTCTCTTGTATTTGTCACTGTAGCTAAAATGTACTATTAAAGTGTATGGATTTTAGCTAGAAAATCCCAGTAGACCCTACATAATATCCTTTACTATATGAATCTCCTTCTGAGATCCTTGGGTAACTCCACACTCACAAACACCATTCATCTGATTATGCTTTTGAGTTCTAGTTGCACAGCAGATGATTTGACCTTGGCTCCCTTGACAGAAATACCTCAAACCACTGTCACACTTAAAATGGTTGTGGTTTATTGGCTCTAAACATTTTCTTCTGTTCAGTTTTTAAACATGTTCAGTTTGTGGTATTAGTAGAAGTTCTGCACCAATAGTTACTTGTTAAATACTTATTAAAATCCTCTTTGGTGTACCATCATGCATAACAGAACCCAGTCTTGAGCATAGAAGTTCTGGTTGCTTTTAATCACTGACATTAAACACCAGAAACATCAATGAGCTAGGATATCTGTGGTCAGAAGGGTATTTCCCTTCTGTCGAAATGCAGTTATAACTGTACTTCTCCAGCATAAGACAATTATGTAGTCTTAAAAGTGCATCTGTAATGGTGAGGGATTTTCCCCACAACAGAACAGCTTGGATCCTGTCAGAGCAGCTTGTCTATACTCAGGTTGGCCATAGCTTCAGGTGCTGATCCCTGTGCTAATTATCTCTGTCAGCAGCATAATCATGAGTTTGTGTCAGGGATCAACTGACTTCGGGTTGATTCCTCAGCCCTGTAATGGTGCCGTACAGTTGTCATGCATTCTTCAGTACACACAGGCCATGAGGGATAGTGTGTTAATCAAGACAGCAGATATACACATGATAGCAATAACACTCTGGGATGTGTTTCATATGGTAGTTTTGATAATATTTGTATCTATTCTGCTTTGGATGTTTTCACTGTGATATTAACATGAACAGCAACAACAGATGCTGGAATTGCAGAAATGAAAATGGAGACTTGATAAAGATATTAAAACCCTGCCCATTAGTGCTTTCCTTCTGGAATGACATGAAGAAATAAACATTCATTTGTTTTTAAATAATAACTTATCTAGAGACCTCAAAAATATGCACCTGGAGGTAATAATCTACTGCTCTAGCAAAGTAGCCCATAAGATATTATTATTGAATGCTGCCAGTGTGAGGAGCAGACAGTGGTAGAAGCTGCCATCAACTCCTGTTCCGCCAGGGTGCCCACAGCTGGCGGAGTCTTAGAACCATCTGGCTAGGAAGTGGGGGCTAAGACTTCTTGAGACAGAATTTCCCTGGGGCACAGTTGCCTCTGTGGGTGCAGAAGGATTGCAGATTGACACCCCTTTTCCCATGCACATGGGATGAAGCAAGCCCTATATATACTGTAATCAGTTTACAAGTAAATCTGTGAATAGGAACAAAATATTTGTTTGACAATGTCGGACAAGTTCTTTACCCTGCTGAGGGTTAGTTTACTTTCTTCTTTGAGTGCTGTCCCTGTGAGTGTTCCACTCCAGGTGACAGTGCGTCCCGGCACCGTTGATCAGAGATCTTCGGTATAAGTGCCTGGTCAGCGCAGCTGTTGTCTTGCGGCGTCATTTGAGTCTGTGCAGCGCGCACATGGCCCGACTCCCTCAGTTCCTTCTCAACTGTCCTCGGCTGAAGACGGAGATCAGGGCAATGCTGTAGCTTCTTCCCCTATTGACAGGAAAATTAAATACGATTAACCCAGTTCCACCCTGCCCTTTAGATAAGTTAGTTAATAGTTAGTTAGTTAAAAAAAAAAAAAACTTTTATCCCCCATTTTTCTTCAAGCTCCCCGCAGAGCGAAAACCTTGATACGTATTCTTGGTCCACCGCAACCTCTCCCTCTTTTACTTCAACATGCCAGGCTCCCCTGGTTTTAAAAAATGCGGGTCCTGCAATGAGGCAATGCCGTGCTCGCTTGCTCTGTGTGCGGTGCCTCGGAGAGACACACATTCTGGCAAAGTGTGCCACTGTAGCAACCTAAAAGCAAAGGCCCAATTGCAACCGAGACCTGCACCTGAAAATGATCCTTATGGAGAAATCGCTCCAGTATGGATCAGAGAAGGATGTATCTAAACCTTCTCCTAAGTGCTCTCCATCCCTCTCGGAACCAACCAAGAGCACAGCGCCACCCTTTCAGGAGAAGAGGAAGCGAGCCTCGAGCTCCACACACAGGGAACCAACTAAAAAGAAGCGATCCCCTGCGAGGTCGCTATCAGCAGTGCTGACGGTCTTGAGAGCCAGCACCTACGACTCTCCCCGCACCTCCAGCACCAGGAGCACCACCCATAAGCTGAACAAGTCGAGACATCAAACTACCCATGTCTCCTCCGCGCTGACGGTACCGACGCCCTTGTTGGAACCAGTGCCCGCCACACAACTACCTCCGGTGCCAACACGACCCTCAGTACCGCCACCGGCACCAACAAATCTCCCGGCACTGGCAGATGGCACCACAATGGGGCCACCGGCACCTGCTAAATACAAGATGCCTAAACCATCAGGATCGATCACAACACGTCAGTGCCACACCTGCCAGCACCACAACAATTCTTAACGCAGAAAGACATCTCTGTGGTGCCGGTGCCAGAATCACCTTCACTCGGCACCGTGAGTTCTCTTTTAACCCAACCAACTTCACCCCCGGCATATTCAGTGTTTACTGATAGCGATAATGAGGACCAGGACCAAGAGGAGCAACTGTTCTCACCACCAGATTCTCCTACACCCCCGTAAAACACACCTCTGGGGCTTTACAATACAAAGAACAACCCCAATGGCCACGGTATGGCCCCCCATGGATGGGCCCCCACATGCCATATCCAATGCAATGACCACTATGGGACCCATGGGCAGCGTATATGGCTCACCACACCTGCACTTCATCACCACCCAGGGCACAACTTCGCTCCTAACCAGTATCCCCAGTGCACCCTACATCCATGGATGCAGTGGACCCACCGGAGGAGCCTGAGGAAGAGGCCATACCTGAGATGCTATCCCCGGAATACAACTCGTCCTTGTCTCCAGATGAAGCCGTCATGCCACCTGTGTGCACTCTGGTCTGGCGATTTCAAATAGTGTCAGGAGCTGTTCAAATGAATAGCAGTCAGTCAGGAAATTCCATTAGAGGAGGTTCAAGAGAATCAACATAAGCTCTTGAAAATTTTGCAACCCTCTTTGGCATCAAAAATTGGGCCCCTATAAATGATGGCATTTTAGAACCTGCTGAAAATATATGGCAGACCCTGGCTACTGCTCCACCAACATGCAAGAGGGCAGATCGCAAATATTACATCCCAGTCAAGGGCATGGGCTTCCTATTTGCCCACCCATAACCCAATTCCCTGGTGGTGGAAGCAGCAAGCCACAGGGAAAAACAACCTCAACACCAATCCACACTGCAAGATAAGGACCACAAGCGCTTAAACCTCCTAGGCCGCAAGGTATATACATCATCCAAACTACAATTTAGAATAGCCAACTATAGCGCACTTCTTGCCAAGTACGATCTATGGCAAACTTTTCTAATTCACCACAGATATACCAGAGGACAGGAGAGCCCAATTCAAATTGGTCCTGATCGAGGGTCACCAGAATGGCCCTACAGGCTTCCCTGGACAAGGCCAATGTGGCAGCTCGAACTATGGCTACCGCAGTGGTCATGCGCAGAGCCTCATGGCTATCATCATCTGGCATCCCGAAGGAGCTCCAATTAAAGATAGAGGACCTGGCCTTCGACAAGGACAAATTATTTTCAGCAAAAACAGACGAAGTCCTGCACACAATGAAGGACTCACGAGCTACCCTGCGTACTCTGAGCATATACACTCCGCCCCCAAAAATAAAGTGGTACCATCCATACCAGAGACCCAGGGCACCACAATACAACCACTTGCAATCCAGACCTTATGAGGCGGAAAGAAACCGCAATAGACTACCCAGGCGCAGACAGAACCAAACAGACCAGTCAGCGTCCCAACCATCTGGAAACAACCCACAATTTTGAAGGATTGGTCGAGGGTCTGAGCAACCACCCCCTAACACCAGCACTCACCTGCCCATTTGGCCACCGCCTACATCATTTCTACCATACCTGGCAGCAAATCACACAAGACCTCTGGGTTCTGGAGATAGTATATTCGGGCTACTCCATCCCTTTAACTTCCTGCCCACCTACCCTACCCCCTTCCCCTCTCCTCTTCAGTGACCCTTCTCACGAGCACCTGCTACGAATTGAATTAAATAATCTTCTTCAGCTAGGTGCAGTAGAAACAGTGCCAACACAATACAGAGGGAAGAGATTCTATTTCCCCAGAAGAAAAGCAGCGGATGGCGACCGATACTAGACCTATGAAGGCTCAACAAATTCATATGCTCCCAAAAATTCAAGATGGTCACATTGGGCACAATAATCCTAGCACTGGAACGGGGGACTGGTTCTCAGCCCTCGACCTACAAGACGCATATGTCCACATCTCAATACATCCAGCACACAGACGATTCCTCCGATTCATAGTAGGACAAGAACATTTCCAGTACAGAATGCTCCTATTCGGTCTCTCCACTGCACTGAGGGTATTCTCCAAAACCCTGGTAGTAATCGCAGCTCATCTACGCAAACAAGGGATCATATTTTTCCCATACCTGGACAACTGCCTCATCAAGGGTCGTTCATACAAAGAGACAGAAACAATCACAATTCTCACCATCAACCTCTTCCAGAGACTAGGGCTGCAAATAAATTTTCAAAAATCCACTTTGATACTCACACAAACAACTGGAGTTCATCGGGACCTATCTAGACTAAACTCAGGCCAGAGCCTTGCTACCTCACACCAGATTCCTGGCCATCAAACCCCTCATAGACACTGTGTTGATCTGCCCAAGAATTGAGTCAGTGCTTACAACTACTAGGTCACATGGCCACCACCACATTCGTGGTGAAATAAGACAGACTACACATGAGGTGCCTCCAGGGCTGGATGAGCTCCATATACAGACCCACCAAACACAGACTCAACATGATGGTAACACCACCCACTGCTGTACTAATGTCATTACAACGATGGACAAAGACAGAATATCTGCATAGGTGTCCCCTTCCACCACAGACTTCCCTCCATCATGATAACTACAGATGCTTTCCTACTGGGCTGGGGAGCACACCTAGACCACCACACGATACAAGGAAGGCGGTCAATGTCAGAATCACACCTGCACATAATCCTTCTAGAGCTCAGGGCAGTGCAAAAAGCCTGCATTCACTTCTTACCACTCTTAAGGCACAAATCCGAATAATGACAGACAATATCACATGCATGTTTTACATTAACAGACAAGGCAGGGCTGGATCGTGTTCCTTATGCGTGGAAGCAATGAAACTATGGAACTGGTGCATCCAGCACCACATCAACATCTCCACTTCATACCTACCCGGATGTCGGAATACTATGGCTGATACACTAAGAAGACAATTTTCACAGGAACACAAATGAGAACTGAATTCGAGGGGCGTACAACAAATATTCGACCTACGGGGATTCCCATCTATCGACCTATTTGCCACAACAAAGGACCGCAAATGCCCTCTCTTTTGCTACAGAGCAGGGCTCAACTCCTGCTCTCTGGGAGACGCTTTCCTGATTTGATGGGACAAGACACTTATGTATGCACTCCCACCGATCCCACTAATACACAGGGTTCTATACAAGGTCAGAGACGGCAAAGCCAGGTACCCTTACCTGCTGTGCATGTCAGTGTACCCTCCACGAACTCTCTTGATGAGGTTGGACCTCCTATCCCAGGACGACGGTCAGATCCTCCATCCACAACTGGAGAGGCTCCACCTGAAAGTGTGGTTCCTCTATGGTTCCAAGTACAAGAGATAACCTGTTCAGAACAGGTCAAATGCATATTACTGAACAGCAGACAGGACTCCACGCACAATACTTACATTCAAAAGTGGAAACGTTTCTGTGTATGGTGCCTGCAAAAGGGCTCACTCCCTACACTACACCCCTTCCTGTACTGCTGGATTACCTGGTAGAGCTCAAGAATTCAGGACTTTCATTCAGCTCTATCAAAGTACATCTCGTAGCAATTAATGCTTTTCATGACAGAATTGATGGATTCTCGGCATTTACATATCCAACCACCAAATGCTTCCTCACAAGGCTTCAGAACCTTTACCCCAAAGTACACCCTCCCACATCCACGTGGGATCTGAACCTAGTCCTCTGGGTCCTCATGAGTCCTCCCTTTACAGCCCTAACTTCCTGCTCTTTACTACACATGTCAATGAAGGTAGCATTCCTAGTTGCCATCGCATTGGCTAGACGGGTGAGCAAAATAGACACACTGATGGCCAATCCTCCCTATACAATCTTCTTTAAGGATAAGGACACAATGCGACTTCACCCTAAATTCCTCCCGAAGTTTGCATCCAAATTACACGTCAACCAACCAAAACACCTTCCCACGTTCTACCCTAAAACACACAAAACCCCACAGGAGGCCACACTACACACCCTTGATGTGAGAAGAGCAATAGACTTCTATTTAGACAGAACAAAACCATTCCGTAAATCCCCTAGACTCTGTCTCCACAACCAAACGATCTAAGGGTGCCGCTATATCCAAGCAACGACTTTCCAAGTGGATATCAGACTGTATCAGATCATGCTATCAGACCCAGAACATAGAACCTCCTGCCGGGGTCAGGTCCCACTCTACTTGAACCCATAGGCGTGCGCAGCACATTTCATTAGGGTGTGCACCCAGGGAATTTTTTTTTTTAAGGCGAACATCATAAAGGGCAGGGTGTGGGAGGGGGTGCTGTGTGCAGGAAGGGGCTGAGGGCAAGGGATTGGGGCAGAGGAGGGGTGTGGGGTGTATGAGGGGGCTCAGGGAAGGGGGTTGGGGTGCAGGAGGGGTGCGGGGTGCGGCAGGGGGCTCAGGGCAGGGGGCTGGGGTTCAGGAGAGTGCAGTGTGCAGGAAGGGGCTCAGGGCAAGGGATTGGGACAGAGGAGGGGTGTGGGTGTATAAGGGGGCTCAGGGAAGGGGGTTGGGGTGCAGGAGGGGTGCGGAGTGCAGGAGGGGGCTCAGGGCAGGGTGTTGGGGTGCAGGAGGGGTACAGGGTGCAGGCAGGGGGCTTAGGGAAGGGGGTTGGGGGGCAGGAGGGGGCTCAGGGCAGGGGGTTGTGGGGCAAGGTGCAGGCAGGGGGCTCAGGGCAGGGAGTTATGGGCCAGGGGGTTGGGGTGCAAGGTACAGGCAGGGGGCTCAGGGCAGGGAGTTGGGGGGCAGGGGGCTGGGGTAAGAGGTGCAGGCAGGGGGCTCAGGGCAGGGAGTTGGGGGACAGGAGGGTAGGCTGTTTGTAGGCAGGCCCGCGGCTGGGGATCTGGGCTCCCCCGTCCTGGCAGGCAGGCTCGGGGGCCGAGCTGGGCGCTTGGGGCCAGGCCGGGCAGAGGCAGCTGGGGTGGATCGCAGAGGGGCCGGGCTGCTCCCAGGGCTGGACTCAAGGCCGAGGGTGCCGGGCCGGAGCCCCCAAACAGCACCGGGGAGCTGAGCTCGCAGCCGGGCTGTCGGGGGGCCTGTGGGCCGGGCTCACCCCCTGCCCCGGGCCTCCTGGCTCCCGGGCCCCACTTAAGGTGGGCTGGGCTCAGGGGCGGCCTGACTCCCCTGGGTGGTGCCCGGGCCCCCGGCCAGTGCAGGGAGCCGCAGGCGGGTTTGGGGCCCTGGGTGCTGGAGGGGGGCAGCTGCCTTGGGTGGGGGCTGTGGCCACCTTAAGCGGCTTTGTTGGTGCTGTCAGGGAGCACATGGGGCTGTTAAAACAGCCAGCCCAGCCCTGGGGAAGGGGAGCCCGGCTCAACAGGGTGCAGGCAGGGGGCTCAGGGCAGGGAGGGGGGGTGCAGGAGGGGTTCGGGCTCCGGCCCGGCGCCGCTTACCCGCAGCGGCACGCTCCCTGCCTGCCAGGGCCCCATGCCGCGCCACTCACCACGTCCCCGCGCAGCCCCGGGGGACGGGTGGCACAGGGCTCTGCACGCTGCCCTTGCCACGCCTCCAGGTACCTCCCCTGAAGCTCCCATTGGCCGCGGTTCCCCGTTCCCAGACAATGGGAGCTTCGGGAGGCGGTGCCTGGAGCAACCCCCCGGCCCCAGAGACATGGTGCCCTGATGGCTGCTTCTGAAAACAGCGCGGGGCCTGCGGCACCACGGGGGGCAAATCCCGCGGGCCGGATCCAAAGCCCTGAGGGGCCAGATCCGGATCCGGCCCATGGGCATTAGGGTGTGCCCGGGCACACCCGGCACACCCCGTGCGCACGCCTATGCTTGAGCCAGTCAACATCTGTGGCATTCCTACACAACGTACCCATTCTGGACATTTGCAAAGCCACCACATGGGCATTAGACCACACTTTTGCCAAGCACTATCCCATCACACAGAATGCCAGGTCAGATACCTTACTGTCCTCTCCGCTGCTACAATGCACATAAAGTCCCCCCAACCATAGTGGGTACTACTCTACATTCACCTTGAGTGGAGCACCCACAGGGACAGCACTCGAAGAAGAGACAGTTTCTCACCTTGTGCAGTAATTGAGGTTCTTCGAGATGTGTGTCCTTGTGGGTGCTGCACTATCCACCCTCCTCCCCTCTACTTTGGAGTTCAAGAACAAAGACTCTACGGTAGAGAAGGAACTGAGGGGGTCGGGCTGTGCATGCACTGCATAAACTCAAACGATGCTGCGAGACAACAGCTGTGCACGTGCGGACTGACCAGGCACTGCTACTGAAGATCTCCGATCAAAGGCGTCTGGACACACCGTCACCTGGAGTGGAGTACCCACAGGGGAACACATCTCAAAGAACCTCAGTTACTGCACAAGGTGAGTAACCTTCTCACACAAGTAGTTCCATTGAAATCCAAGGATGGCACAAACTGACCACTAATGATTATAGCTTTGCTGTACTTTTCTCGCTCATTTATTTTTTTTTCTATTTACAGTCCTCTCTCATTTTGGATTGGATTTCAGCTATTGTTATCACTCTGTTAAAAGTCACTATTCTATTAACTAGTGTTGCTCAAATTGAGTTTTAAGATTCTCTAGTGATGTGTCACTACTATTTGCAATATGCTGGATTCTAAGTTAAATTTTTGAAATATTGAAATGACAGCATGGAGCATCTCTTAGCTGTTTTGCTGAATCAGGGCATTGATTACACGTTCAAATGACCAAATTCATATATCATGTACACCAGTTCTCACTGAGGGTAGGCATGTGTTGGTGTGAATAAGCATTTGAGAATTTGGAGAGGAAAGATGCAGGATTCGTTTCAGGTCTCTGACCTAATCTCTTCCCCCTAGCGCATGTGAAGTTACTGATGGAGAATGGCAGTGAAAGTTACTGATGGAGAATCTTCACTAGCTTATGGAGGTTCCACTTTTCACACTGTAGCATATCCACTAGAGATTCATGGGGCAGCTATGAATCAGTGAGACCCTGGTTTCATAGCTCTTTTAAGAGGTGTGCTATCTAAGAGAGGGAAGCAGCAGAGGAATTGGAAGTTGTGTAACAAACCAGAAGCAAGAGGCATGCAGACTTCTCTGTTGGGTCCTCTGAATTTGTGAGGACCTAAAGGCATCCACACGTGTGGGGTTAAGAAAGAATATGAGTCTATGAGTCTATATGTATATATTGCGCCTCATCTCTTGCATGCATAGGGTTAATAGTCTCGCCAACTCCAAATATTCAAAAATCATGAGTCAGGCCCTAACATATCCTGAGATAGACTTAAAAACCATAGGACTTTCAAAAATAATAATTTTATGGTTCTTATTTGTTTTATGGGTTTTTGAGACTGTGGGGTTCATGGTTTCCCATTTCCCCCCCATGACTATGCAAGCTAGACGCATACTTTTCTTTTAAATGAAAGCTGAGATTCTCCTGTAATAAAATGGGGGGTTGACATTACCATATCAGAGGTGGAAGCCAAGCTTGAACAGCTAAACGGGACTAAATCGGGCGGACCGGATGATCTTCATCCTAGAATATTGAAGGAACTGGCGCGAGAAATTGCAAGCCCCTTAGCGATAATTTTTAATGAATCTGTAAACTCGGGGGTGGTACCGTTGGACTGGAAAATATCTAATGTGGTTCCTATTTTCAAGAAAGGGAAAAAAAGTGACCCGGGTAACTACAGGCCTGTTAGTTTAACATCTGTAGTATGCAAGGTCTTGGAAAAAATTTTGAAGGAGAAAGTAGATAAGGACCTTGAGGTGAATGGCAATTGGGACAAATTACAACATGGGTTTACGAAAGGCAGATCGTGCCAAACCAACCTGATCTCCTTCTTTGAGAAAGTAACAGACTTTCTAGATAAAGGAAATGCGGTGGATCTAATATACCTCAATTTTAGTAAAGCGTTTGATACGGTACCGCATGAGGAATTACTGGTTAAATTGGAAAAGATGGGGATCGATATGAAAATCCAGAGGTGGATAAAGAACTGGTTAAAGGGGAGACTGCAGGAGGTAGTACTGAAAGGTGAACTGTCAGGTTGGAGGGAGGTCACCAGCGGGGTTCCTCAAGGTTCGGTTTTGGGTCCGATTTTATTTAATCTATTTATTACTGACCTTGGAACCGAATGTAGGAGTGGGCTGATAAAGTTTGCGGATGACACAAAGTTGGGAGGTATTGCCAATTCGGAGAAGGATCGGGATATCCTGCAGGGAGACTTGGATGACCTTGTGAATTGGAGTAATAGCAATAGGATGAAATTTAATAGTGAGAAGTGTAAGGTGATGCATTTAGGGATGACTAACAAGAATTTTAGTTATAAGCTGGGGA